TCTTTAAGGCAGCAACTGGTTAGAGAGCTGTAACGTTTATCACTGATACTCCAAAACAGTTGTTGGCAGTCTCTAGTTTGGAGGAGTCTGGAATCACATAGCGATATTGCCAAATGTGTCTGGGTTCTGTTCTGGACCCACAATAAATCCAGTTGGAAACAACAAATCCCAAAACAATCTGCTGATAAAACTCACAGACACATTAGGCCATTACCCAGAGTGAAATAACACATTACCACTTTCTGGAATGCTTACCTCAAAGATAAAGAGGATTGAGTCCAGCTCCTCCCTCTGAGACTTATGACCTGTAAAACACAAAGCCGTATTAAAAGACAAAAACAATCACAAAAAGAACAAAAAAGGGAAGATGATGGATAATGTCTTTGGCCGTTTATTAATGGGAAAACTTTACCTTTTTGCTTGAGGCTGACCTCAATGGTGACAAAGTTTTCAAAGAAGACATAGTAGATATGGGAATAGTAGATATCGAAGAACTGCTTCAGATCTGGAGCCTCGGAATTTTCTGTGAAGGAGAAACAGAATGAGGCTCGGATTTATCTGGGAAACGCGTCAAGGAACGAATCAAAGAGGCCTCGCTGATTTGTTGTTTTTTTTACAATCTTACCAATGCAGAAAATATTACCCATTACACATTAATTTGTGGAGTGCAACTAATAGCTGTCAACCAATTACTCTGTTTAGAGTTGCAACCCACTATTTACAACTTCATATGTCAAACTGAACAGCGCTGCATGAGGCGTTGAAGTTTGAGATTTGATATGATGACCTCCAAACAGAACTCTGCTTTAAGCTTCTTCAGGATGTTCCTGAAACATGTCCTCCTTTATCACAGACAAATTCTCTGCTGGTTAATTCATCTCCTGCAATTGATTCATAAACTTTTATTATGTTGGTGTGAACTAGACACCAACATATCTGAACTCTTAAAGCAGAGACTCAAGCCCTGACCCAGGGGGAAACATTCCACTGTTCTCCCTCTGAGCAATCAGCCTCCCATGAACCCGTCAGCACTTCAGGATGGAAGCACGTTGCTCCTACTGAATATCAAGTTCAATAAGCAGTCAGAGGGTTACTTCCCAACACTTTTCTAATGTTATAACGATCAACTGAACGTAACATTTCTATAACTCTGGATTCTGTCTGGGTTATCTATTTTCCACCCCAACGTCTCTTGAGAAAAAACAAACAAAAATAAGAGAAATATTACACAATAAAGGGGAAGACTTTTTCAACATATTTAAGGAATGCATGTCAGTCTTTTTTGTTTATCTGCATTCTACAGTTGAAGACTGTGTTTAAATGCGTCAGTGGTAAAAGATTAATAAGACTCTTTGTTAAAGATTAAACATTTCTGTTCAGAAAGTAGTTCTGAGTAGCATGAACTCTGTTTAATCTGACTTCTGCAAATTTACTTCATGTCATGATGTTCCGCGTTTGCTTTTGCTCTCATTTGTATTTGTGTATTTTTTTTTCTTTTTTTGCCCTTTACTATTCTTCACAGTCACACAATGCTGACTCTATATTTTATTGACATTCCCGGGTCATTTTGTATTCCTCCTTATACGACAGCTGAAAGTCAAACTCACATCAGCGTCAGAAAGCTTCCCTTGTAAGGTCTTGGCTGGGAGGTTTATCTACTCCGACTGTAGCTGACACATTCAAGCAAAACTTTTATCAACACTGTGCAGCTGACTCTTAATCTATTTTAGATTTTGATGGCTAATAATAGGGTGAAACCCAAGGCTTCCAATGTCAAGTGAAACAGACATTAAGATTTGTTCAGGGAAAGTTATTGTCTGTTATATATTACATAAAAGACTTTGCCGACCAAATAAAACTTAGAAATGGAGGTGCTTGATTTGACGACACTTCCTCCCCCAGGGATTTATAAAGGATGTTCACGGAAACAAGAGGGAACCCGAGATTTGTTTTGTTATTATTATTGCAGTTTAACATAACAGTAAGGAACAAAAATGCAGATGTTTGAAACCAAGACAACAGACATGTCTGAGTGTTGCCCAGGATGTACACCACCTCTCACCCAATGGACTAAATCCCCATGACCAAGCACAAATAAGCACCTATCGAAGATGGGTTATATTGCTGAGACTTCATCTACAGTAAAGTCTCTCAAGCTCAAGCTTTGTGCTCCATTTGTGCTGGTTTGAGTTGCAAAAATGTTGTTTTGTGCCACCATCATTTTCAAGAAACTATAAATTAAACCTCTGCATGACCATTTTAAGGCCTAATCTTTAAACTGTTGGTGCCACAAACCTTTGCAGCACTAACTACTGACACCATTTCTGCTTGGGTTGGGCAGTATGAGGTTGATTCATAAACTTTTATTAATGTCTTTAAAAGGAAATAAGCTGAAACTGCTGTAAAAGGCCTAACCTAATACAAATGTTTGACAGATGTTAAAAACGTAGAGCAAGACACTACAGTCAGGTAAATCATCTAATTAACTGCAGTATAAATGATCAATACTTCATCTGAGATACAGTTACATATCATGACGGAATGAACAAGATCCTTTTGCTTATTTTTCTGTATAGAACATAGTTTAAGTACTTCAGAAATGAGCCACGTTAGATTAGACAGAAAGTCTATAAAACCTTCCTCAAGTTTATAACAACAAGAATAACTAAACTAGCAACTTCACCAAAGTTTCATCACCCAAACCGGAACTATTGTGGTTAAAACTGTCTTGGTGCAGGCATGTTTTGCTGGTCTCTGTGGTTGTTATCATAATTTTGAGTTCCCTACAGAGCACAGAAAGGGGGCACACCCCTCTCACAAAGACAAAAACAGAGGAAGTTCCACTATGGTACTGGACACAGAGAGGAAATACTAGAGGCTATTTCCCCATCCGGCATGAGCTATTAGGGAGACCCACGCTTGCCCGAGCACTCACAGTTCCATCAGGTGAAATATCAGGTCATCGCCTCGTTTCTCGGACACATCACAAATTGTCTGTGCGCTAAAGTGTGGAGAAAACCCCACTGAGCACTTCTCACTCTTCAGGTTCCTGTGCAGGACGCTGGCACACCCGTGAAGAAATCACCACAACCTGACTGACAACAAGCGGCATCACAGTGTTTGCCTTTCAGCCTGTAGGACACGCGACACAGCAAAACTGACATAGTGTATGAAACACATCCATGTTTTCTAAGGATTAATGGTTCTGTTCAGTTAGTATGGAATGTTCCCACTCGGTTATGAGAACTTGACAAAAATTTCTCCCACAAGATTTGGTCAACTTTATTTAGTCTGAGTGCTTTCTCTGGAATAAAAATATTTTATATTGCTTGGAAATGACCTATAAAAAACCCAGGCATAACAGAATACAAACAATTGTCAGGGAAAAAAACACTACAATGATTCTGCATTCACCGTAATTGATAACAGATGAAATCTAAAGACTGAATGCTGCAAATAAATCAAAAGCTGCTTCAACAAAGTGTGTACAGACTGATGCATCAGGCTAATTGTAGCTTTACTTTGCTCTTTATTTTTTTACTTTAGTAGATTGGCTTATCAGTTGAATTGTACAGGGCATGCGTCATGTTAAAGGTAGCGTAAAAATGCTTTTATTCTGTAAATACAACTTATACTAAGTTAAATCTTAAGAGACAGTCCAAAACTGAACATTATGGTACATAAACATTACTGTCAAGATTTTCTTAAACTTTTTCTCTGCAATTTTTTCACTTACTTAATTATGCTTTACAGAGCTTCTCACAATTTATAAGTTTGTGGTTGGCATAGAAAAAGAAAACATAACCAAACCACCACCACAGATAGAAACCTATGTTTTCCAAACTCCATTTTCCCAAAAACATCAACAGTAACCAAGAGCGTTATAAAAAATTAAAAAAAAACACCTCATTTATTCTCAGCATGAATAATGAGCAGATACTGCTATGCTTCTAACTCCTTAAGCACCATGCAAATGTATCTTCGATTTGTAACATGGTGAAAAAATATTGGGTGACTGTACAAGTCTCTGTTTTTATAGGTCATTTCCAAGATTAACTAATTTCTAAAATATCACAATGGATTTCCTTCGATTTGAAAACAACAGTGAGAAATCACTGAAGCCTTAAACATGATTAGTTGTGCATTTACTCCCACAGAGAGCAACTTATAGATGCTCGAGATTGGCCTGACATGCACCAAGTGTGTATGAACACAGGCAGGGAAACACAAGCTAACCTCTTAGCTGCTCGCTGTGGATCTTAAACTCACCTATGACAATTCTGAGATGCTTGAGTCTCGTCAACACGTCCTTCTTCGGGTCCAACACTTTCTGTGTTGATTTTTTAACGTCTCCATGAGGCTTTTTGGAAAACATTCCCGAGGCAGGAGGTACGACAACAACAAAAAAAACACACACAAAAAACCGCGACGGTGAGGAGCAGAAGCTGAGGGGGGCTAGCTGAGCTGCAGAGTGAGGCTCAGACGTTAATCTTTAACCGTCTCAAGAACCTCGTCGTTCCCGGTTTATTAACACCAGTCCTCTGCTACAGAGCTGAAAATATCCAGCAGGAAAATCGCCCCCATTCTGGTCAAATTAAAGGCGAATGTGTGAGACATAGCGGGGCGACACATCTCTCTCTAAACCGCCGCACCTCCCTTCTTCCACTCTGGTCAGCGTCGGCTCGTACGACGGTAGCTGTCATGGCGGAAACAAAGTGAACGATATGAGAAAAAAAAAAATCAAAATAAACACAAGTAAATTGTTTTCAAACTTTTATTAAAGTCGTTGCAATATATGCTGCACAATTTTTTATGTATTTTAAAATCTAAAAAGTCACCAACAAATAAAGTTATTAACGCCTTTGTAAACATTATAAAGGAATTCTCCGCCTTAGAGTGACTTCTGGGTAATGGAGTTCAAAAGCCATGTTGTAGCTCCTTCGTTAGTTAGTCTTAGCATCAAAATAAACTACAGTTCCCATAAGAACGCACTGCTGAGATTTGTTTTTAGCATGACGGGGACACAAGTTGTGCGCAAAGAAAAACTATTTTAACATTCTTATAGTTTTAAAAAAAAAATAAGTTGAAAGGGTTCTCGTAATTATCGCCTTTCTCAAAAACTACGTAAGTTGTGATTCAAACGTATTTACTTATTTTGCGAATTTGTGACGCTATCGTGATCGCTATCTAACTGGTTTGCTAACATGCTAATTTGCACTTTATTTGTGCAAATAATGTTAGCACAAATAAAGTGCTAACATTATTTGTTTGTAAAGTTAAATTATTAGTAAAATACAAGACTATTTAGCTCCGTTTGCTTACACTTTAACTAGTAAGTACATCACTTGGATGTAATTACTGATTATTTCCCCCCCTCGGATACACATGTGGTGTAAACAGGATGTAAGAAGAATTTAGGAAAAATAATAAATAGTAAATGTTCCTATCCAATCATATTCTTTAATGTACAACCGTGTTAATTGAAGCATTTCTATTGTCTTACATAAGTGGGAAAATACAATCATGTTTAAATTATTGTATTTAGTTTTTTTAAAAATTATTATTATTATTATTGTTTTTCAATTAATTGCATCTCTGTTTCACAGCATCAAGAGTCTAAATTGGAGTTGTGTGGCGATGCCGGTGCACCGTGACCGAGAGAAAAAGGAGAGTGTAGCAGAGGAGATGGAGGTAGAAGAACTGGAGCATGAAGCTTCCAGCTCAGAGGAGGAGGAATCTGACTCCTCTTCTGTCTCTGAGGATGGAGACACTTCTGGTGAGGAAACTCAGAAGTTGGTTGCGCTTGTTTTTATGATGTAGACTTTCTCTATAAAGTAGACTTTAAAAATATATATATATTCATACCTCTTAAACTTTCTCACGTTTTGAAATTGCATGTCATTCTATTCTCCCTCCAATCTTAATAAAATTGAGAAAGTCTAGAAGCAAGAAATGACAAAACCTGCAACCGTCTCAATAGGGAAGTTGGTACATTCACACTGGTTAACGGTTGCAGCTGTAATTACATGAAGTAGTGGTTCCATAAATCAACAGGACTGACTATTTATACTTTATTCATAATTGTTTTTGAAACCTTGTATTTTTTTCCTTTCACTTTTTGCTAGCAATTATTTGCTAGTTTGGGTTAGGTGTATTGGAGCGAATCTCAGTAATAAAACCATCAAAATGTTCAAAGGTTATGAGAACTTCTTCACGTCACACAAGAGGAATGTTTGGTCCTTTTTGAATTTCCCAGAAATGGATGAGGAGGATTGTGAACGGAGGAGAACGGAGTGCCTGGATGAAATGTCCAACCTGGAGAAACACTTTAACAGTCTGAAGGACCAGTAAGACCTTTGCCGATCGATTTTCGGTGTCCTCAGTGTCATAACAGCGAGTTACATCCGTACTTCCTTGTGCCATGGTGTGCAGGTTGTATCGAGAGCGACTCAGCCAGGTGAACTGCAAGCTGGCGGAGGTCGAGGCCGGACGAGCAGCAGAATACCTCGATCCTCTGGCGGTACTGCTGGAGAACATGCAGGTCCGCACTAAAGTGGCAGGTAACTTCAGTTCGCTTACAAATCCTTCTACTCCTCTCACGGTGTTCAGTCTCGCAGCCTGTAATTTTCCTCTGTCAGGTATTTACCGAGAGCTGTGTCTGGATTCTGTGAGGAACAAGTACGACTGTGAAATCCAGGCTGCGTGCCAACACTGGGAGGTCAGAAACATGAGTTATCCACTAAGGTTCTCCTGGACAGCTGAACTTTGTTTTAATTCAGAACTTTTGTTATGAATTGTGTGTGTGAGCAGAGTGAGAAACTGCTGCTGTTTGATACAGTGCAGAGCGAGCTGGAGGAGAAAATTAGGAGACTGGAGGAGGACAGACACAGCATCGACATCACATCAGGTAGCGCGGTGACTGCAGTGTGTTTGGCGCTGTGAAGCCTGCGGAGCTTCTCGCAATGCCTCTGAGTCATCTTGTCTTTGTTCAGAGCTGTGGAATGATGAGCTGTCTGGAAGGACGAAAAGGCAAGACGCTTTAAGTCCAGATAAGAAGAGGAGGCGACCTTCTGTGGTTTCTGATATCCTTTGTGTCGCAACATCGAGGAATTACACATTTCATTCAAATTTTAGTGATTGAATGTGTCCTTAACCCTATTCACGTCCATATATTGTCTATATGCTGCCAGATTTGGACATCCTAGAGGACTGGACAGCTATCAGAAAGGTGCACATTCAAGATTGTCTGTCCATTTCTTCATTACCAGGTGTTTTATGCATTTTTCCAACATCTTTTTCATTTGCGTTGCAGTCTGTTGCTACCTTGGGCCCTCACAGAGTGAAGGTTGACGCGGACAGCTGCTTATTCCCCTTCCGATCTGACAAAAATCGGCCGATTCTCAACTGCTGAGAAGCCCATACATACGTTTAAAATCGCATAAGGACTTCGGCGTACAAGCAGACATACGAGGGACACTAATCTGAATGTTTCTACTCCCCAAATCTGGTGGCGATTAAAAGTTAATATTTTAAGCTGCCAGTCATGCAGGTTTTTCTGCACAATAGAAAATCTCCAACATTAGTGATCCTTTCAGACAGATGTGGCTGCTTTGGTTTAGTCTCAGGCTTTTACATATGTAAACGGCATCTTCATTTGTCTGATTTTGTAAAGGAAAAAAAACAAAACAACAAAAATACATGAAACTCAAAGCAATCACTAAGAGTTGGTTTGAAGTTCTTCACCGTTAAAGCAGTACAAACAGTTCTCCCACTCAAGCTACTTGGCTTGAGTCAGTTCTTTTCTAGGAAACTGTCCTTTAAGAGGAGTAATAATGAGTGAATAGTTAGTGTTAGTTTATGTTTTGAATGTGCATCTGCTTGGATTTTAAACACCCTCGAATTTCAGTACTTAGTTTTCTAGAAAACTAGTTTTCGATGAGGATGCCATTGTCTTTTTACATATTTAAGTGAAGAGTAAAAAAAAAATATTTCAGTCTACCAATTGGAGAATTATTAATGTTCTCTGGAAGCTTGGAAGCTTTTCTGTCATTATTTTTGATGTTCTTAATCATATGACCCATGTTACATGTACAATGTTTTAGTTTCTCTTCATAAAGCTTTTAGATTACAAGGGAATAAGAGTTAAAATTAAAACAGTTATAATTATAACTAAAACAGAGCATATTGCAGTGCACAATGTTGCTTCCTACCTCTTTTTGTTTTTACCAATATTTTCATATGATTAGAAATGTTGGGCTCCTTTCTTTTGACATCCTTCGAGTTTCCATCTGATCAACAATAAGGACAATATTTTGTGTTTTTTGGCAGATTGGTTCTTGTCAGGTGCAGTTGTGTCTTTCCTGTTAATTTTACAAATTAAAAGTTTTTATACATTTATTTTGTGTCTCTGTGAAAACTCAGGATTGAAGGAAAAAAACAATACATCGACGGATCAGTTCAGTCAGACCACAGCAAGAGTGCCAAGCCTTGGTGTGGTTTTTCATAGGTCATTACATCACCCATATGAATTAAAAATGAATGTTTTCCACATTAGCGCTCCCAATGTGCTTATCAAATTGCTGAGAGAGAGAAAGCTTTATATCACACTGTACTCAAGCTGCTTTTAACCTGTCGTTAGTTGACTCCTGCAGAACTCGAGACAGGCTGAAATATTTCAAGCATTTGAATCTGATATGCTGCAGGGCATCAGTATTGCTTTGGCACGATTTCTCAATAATACTGACTGCCTAACTTTAAAAGGTAATTGTCTTAATGCATTTTTCCCCAAAAATCAGGTGTTTCCAATCACTAAGAATATCAAGTACATTTTTGTCTTTAATGCACTTTGAGGAAATGCATTGTTTTATGACTATTATGTTTATACTTAAAAATTTCCTTTCGTTATCTCTCCTGGATGTGCGTTACATGTTTTCCTACCACTCAACTTTCCATTCATAAGTTTGGATGCGGCTTAAGAATGGACTGTTGGCTTTCTGTGTTTTATCTTCTTTGTGGAGGTTCAGGCAGTTTTCACCTTGATTAAATGAGCTAGACTGCAGCTGTATTAACACACGTATTCTAAAATTAATATAAGAAACAGAATTTTGGGTTTTTATTAGATAGCAATAAAAATTCTGGAAATAAAGGACTTTGCTTAATGAATAAGTTTCACCTTTTTGAAGAAAAATACTAAAAACAAATTAACTTTTGAATTATATGCTAATTTATTGTAACGTTCCTATATGGTCCCGGAATCGAGTTTCAAATGTGCACAAATTTTGTGAAGACACCTGACATGTCTGTTCTACTTTCATTGAAATATTTATTATATCTATTTATTTACAGCGTACAAACCTTTCCAAAACTGGGTTTGAATTATGCAAAGGGTTTCAAATATATGAACATACTTAAAAGGCCTGAATATTAACAATAAATGAAGGTTTTTAAATATTAAAAACATTTCATGTACAAAAAATTTGCAAAGAATAACATTGAGATGTTCTGCGGATGAGCACAAAAATGTACATAATTACATAAGTGACATATAGAGAAAGTTTTAAAAGTCTTTATTCATCTATGAAATAATCACTTTTTACAAAATTCACAAAGCTGACATCTAGGAGCCTCTCTTCCAGTCAGTCCATTTGACTTGATTGGAGTCACAGTTTTCATATGTAAGTCACTGTAACGGCGTCAGAAGCACCGTTAAACACCTGCTCTCCTGGTTTGAAACTAAGACAGAAGATGAATGGAAAGTCTATTGAATTTCAAAGGGAACTCAGAATTTTTTTGCAAACGTTTAAGAAAACATACTCGTTTGACCTCTAAGGAAGAAAATCAAGTATGTTGACCTGGCTGTTTTAAAGAAAATTATATCAACAGTAATAAAAATGGTAAAAGAAAAAAAAAGCGCATTTTAAAAACTCTAGTGTGGGGAAGAAGTGACCATAAAAGGTCTGTTTCTGTCAAAGTACGTTGTGTTCATTTATTTTTCTTTCTTTGTCGTTGACCTGAATTGCAGACAAATGTCAAACTCTATGTGCATTTTCAATATAAGATCCAGGTAACAATGTGTCTTGCCAATATGACAGCTTTAACTCACAAAGGTAGAAATTAAGCATCAACTAAGCTGTTGATTTTAAAATGAATAAGTGGTTGGATGACGGGGTGGATAAGAAAAGGTTTTACATGTAGGAGAAACAGAACTGAGGCTCTTACAGCAACAAAGCAGCATGATGGAGATTAATGTTTCTGCTCTACAAACACTGGTCAGTAAATATCCCTCCTGGCCAATAAATAACTGGGGCAGAATGAAGCAACTCCACCTTTCTTCCACCTGCTACTGAGCTGAAATGGATCCTCATGGAGACCGTCGGGGTTAGATGGCATCTTCAGGCGAAGGTCTGTTCTCTGGTGACTGGCTTTGAGGTGGCGAAGGCAGGGACTGCTGACGAGGAGGAGGGCCATCAGATGGAGGTAGCGGCATGGGGGGGCCGTAGGGGGCGCTGGGGTTAGGAGCGGGAGGAAGAGGTCCACCAGGTGAGAAACGAGGAGGAAGCATCATTCCTTGAGGATGGGGAGGCCACACTGGAAGAAACACAAAACGGTTTGAGATTAAATCCTTAGATCAAATCGTCTAAGTTGTAAACATGACAACGATTTCTTACTGGGCCTCATTGGAGGACCCCCTGGTATCCTGGGACGGTAGAAATCAAGAGGGGGAGGGGGTCCATACGGGGCTCTACGGGGAAAGGGGCCATCTATAGGAATCCCTGGGGGTCCAGGTGGAGGAGGGCCACCCATCCTCAGATCCAGTTCAGGAGGAGTCCTCTGACCACCAGGGCCAGACTAAAGACACATATCAAATCCTTTAGTACCAATAAAGACCGAGCATATAGCATCTCACACTGCTGCTCACCTCTCTGTGGTCCTGCTCACCGGGTCCAAGACGGTTTTCCCTGAACGAGCCGTCTGAATCGACAAACGTTTAGTTTGTTGGAGAAAAGTATGTATGAAGAGTGTTCTATGCAACATACAGAATCCCTCGCTGCATTAATCATTAACAGCTTACCTGCCATGTCTAGAGGGTGAGGCGGTCCCATGGGGAGACCTCTAGGTGGCATAGGGCCAGGTGGGAGGGGCCCAGGAGGAGGCAAAGGTCCCAAAGGCCCTGAAGGAGGAGGAGGTCTCCTGAACATGGGACCTCCTGGTTCTGGAAACATGTAGCCTGAAAAAGAAAAAAAGAAAAAATAGAAAAATGAAATAAGTGCAAAGAAATCTAACAAAACTCAGTTTCTGAAGTCCTTACTTCTAAAAAAACATTTTCTATCTCTAAGCTTTGTATATTTTGTCACATTATATCCAGAAATGTTTTACAAGCATCTTACTTTATACATCAGCAGAAAATGAAGTTAGGAAAAATGAAGTGCTAGAAAATGATACATAGTTTAATATTCTTTCCAAATAAGAAATTTAAAAGCATCTCATCCATTTAAGTTTAGCCGTCTTGACTCTGATGCCCCTAAATAAAATCTAAATTGCCTTCAAAATTTGGATTGCTTTAAATATTTCTTTGAATCTCCTTAAAAAAAAAAAAAAGCTTTTTTTTTTTAAGAGATCGTCATTGAACAAACAGCATCATAAAGACCAGGGAAAAGACCAGATATGTGTGGGATAAAATTAGGGAGAAGTTTAAAGAATAGTTAGGATATAAAACAATATTTCACACGTTGAACATCTCATGGGGTATTTTGTAGTCAAGCATCAAAAACGGAAAGAACACGGCGCAACAACAGACCGAACAAGACATGATCATCCACTTTACATCACTTTACAACAGCTAGCATGCTTTTTCCAGGAATTTTTTTTCAGGATTACTAGTCCATTTCATCTTCCACTGAAGAAATGGAAGATGAAAAGAAATGCACGAGGATGCATAAATGTGTTTATTTATTAAAAATAAAAGCTATAATTTCAAAAAGTTTAACAGATTTTGTTGATATTTATTTATCATTATTCTCTTTATAAAATAACTTACAGAACAAATCAGATATCTCTAAAGCAGCTGGACCAAGTTGAAATTATTCTAAGAATGGGTAAAATTTTATCCTAGTAGAATTCATTATTTATGATTTTATATGTTACCTCTGCAAGCCAATGTTTTTCTTTTTTTTTTTAGTCTTCGCTCTTCCAAACGCAGTTACATACAGACCTAAATCACTTAAAGTTAATGAATTAAAAAAACTCCTGTACCAGCTTGCATCAGAAATAGTAGCTGAAATGGAAAAACTGAATAAAAATGAAATGTCTTCGAGCTAGCAACAGGAAACATTTTTATATTTTAAACTGCATTATTTACGACATGTCTCAGCCTGCATTTCTTTCATCAGCATGCACAATGCAGACCAGGTGTAAAAACAGACCGGCCGGGGCAGAATTAAGCCTCTTAGAATCCTGCATTGTATCCCGTCTCAGCGCTGTGGTGAGAGATGGAAACAATTAGCAGCTAGCTAATGTGACTGTTTAACTCGCTGAGACAAGGTTACACAATCATTAACATGTTGCTGTTATTGCGAGCCATGACAACCAACGCGCTACGACCGCATTAAGACCATGCATCAGAGAGACGGGGATATTAGTTACTGCTTTATGAAAGAGTAACCCACATAGACAATGACTGATGTTGACATAATCAAGGTGCACATGCACAACGAACACCGTCGTGTGATGGTGATGTGGCAGAAATGCATGTGGTGTGTGCAGACATGTTGTTCCTCTGATTGATTAAAAAGGCTCCTGCAAACTGCTTTTGATCACAGTTGAAAGCTGTTTCTTCAGTTGGCAACGAATCACCACAAGTGAGGCAAATATTTGCACTTCTTTCCGAGGCAGTCCCAGTTTTAAACATAGTGCTAACGTTTTGAACTCTGATTATTTTAAAACAAACAAAAGCACATCAGCTTTGTTTTCGCTGGCAGCTGAAATTTTACATAAAAAAAAAAAAAAAAAAACAACGAAAGCAAAAAAATACACACCAAGCTGCCTTAAATTAACCTGTTTTGTTTGCGATTAAATGACAAAATAAAAATTTATCTTTGAAAAAATGCCCTTTGATCAAAGCTTTCAGAATTTTTAAAAATCTTTTCTTTCCACACACCTGGGGGTACCAGAGGCCCAGGAGGTCCTGGCGGGGGACCCCTGCGTTCTCTCTCCCATGTGGGAGAGTTTGAACCGCTGTCTGAATGAGGACCTCCACTGCGCTCCATCTCTGCTTGGCCACTTGGGGGCTCCCCTGGACCACGAGATACTGGGCAGGAAAGCAGCAAGGAGGAAAGAAGGCAAAGCAAAGAAGATGACGATGATGAAGGGTTTGACGTCAAAGACAAAGATGGAAAGGA